CCCCCCCCCAAGATTTGAAAGTATCTTGTCCCCTTATTGGTCCTTAGGGTCAGGTGTCAGCCAGGTTACCCGAGCTTCTTAACCCTTTACAGGTAAAAGGATTTTGGAGTTTCTGGCCAGGAGGGATTCCATAGCACTGTACACAGGAGAGCAGCCACCCTTCCCTTTATAGTTATGACAACCCCCTTCTACAAAAGACTACGGTTTGTAGTGTATATGTAGTCACGGGTGCAGTCTGCCCTGATGAGTTCCTTAAGGAGGCCAGATTAAAGAACAATGAAGTCTTATTCTGATTTACTTGTGTGTGTGTGTTGCTTAGAATGACATATTTACAATGTCTTTTAAAATAATAGGAAGTCACTATAAGGAATCCAATAACTGTCCAAATTGTTAGGTGTATTTCCAGTTATGTTTGGTCCTTTTGTCTCCATCACTGAGGGACAAAACAAAAACCCAACAATATTCAAAGTATTTAAAAGTCTGGATTTTATTCTCATTTTAGTAGTAAGTAGGAATTTTCTGTAGGCTCATAGCTTCACCCGCTTTCATATATAAAATAAAAATCCTAAATTTGATTTGTTTTACACAGGAGTAACTCCATTGACCTCAGGGAAGTTAATCTAGGCTCACACTGGTGTAAGGAAAATCAGAATCAGGTGAATGGTGTCTAAGTAGGTGAGCAGCCACACACAAAAAACATTTAGTAAAGTATCCATATGAGTCTGATCCTGCTCACTCTTGCCAAAAGTACCATTAAAGTCAATGGTTTGGGAGGAGTAAGGACAGTGTAAGTGGGTCCCGGAAGTCCTGCCTCGGTAGGACAGAAAATGGAAAGGGAAATCTGAAATTCTATCTCCAACTCCCTCAGTTGCTCCCTTGGTATTGAAGTACCTGTAGCCTTTAAAGTCTTCCAGTGGTTTGAGGCATCTAACAGTAGTAGCTCGTGCCAGCTGTAATAACTGGGTTTCATTCTTGACTCTGATTTTCCTGTCTTGTGGTCTAAGACAGAATTTCAAATTTATTCAAGTGTAGCTTATGACCTATGAGTTTCTTATACCCTTTAAATGATGAATTTTAAAAAAAATCTCATATAGAAATATAGGTTGAAAAATATGACTCTTCCATTCACTTAGCTACAGCAATGGCCACTGGAGACCTGATCCTGCATACCTGTGCAAGGTAATAGGATCATTTGCCAAGTGGTTGCACTTAAAATTTATTTTATTTGTGAAAAATTCTGCTGGCTTGAGAGAGATTCTCTATACTTAAATGGGCAATATTGCTAGAAATGGTGATGTCTCTCAGAATAAAACTGAGATGTTTCAATCTATGTATCCAGTCTAAAAAAATTCATACTCTTGCGAAGAATGTCTGAAAGCAAATTCTTTATCTCTTTTACTCTCTTGACTTAAATATGCCCAAATGGATTTTTTTCTTCAAAATGTGTGTGTGAAAGAGAGAAATTGTGCTTCTGACAGAAAAGACCTTGTACCACAGGACACCTTGAATCACATACAAGATTTCAACACACAATGAATTCCCCCCCTCCCCCACAGACACACTTACTATAGCTATGAAAACAATGAGAACAGTCATTCCTAATGGTAATATTGGAAATGAACTCTAAACAAAATGGGCAGTAACAGGCACCAGTGTGATGTTACATAAAGTTTAATACACTTTACCTTATTCATTATATCAGCAATATATGCTATGAGTTTCAGCCCAATGGTTAATCCCGTAAAATAATACTTCCGTATGGTATTCATGAATGAATTTCATTCTTGCCTATTCTAGCTCAGAAGCATTAGAGGGGCCTGGACCATTAAGGAGAGCATATTTCTATGTGTATGAATCAGATTCAGGACGTGGGATGAAGAGATTATGACAGTTTCAGCGTGTTTCCCATGCATATGCATACCCAGTTTGCCATACAAACTGGTTTTGTAGTAATTCATTCAAAATGTGACTAGATTTTAACAAGCAGGAGATTTTAATGGGAATCAAGACAATGACTGGAGATCTGCCATGTGCCCCTCCTTCCACCACTCCCAAAGAAAAAGTAAACTTCACCATTGGAATCAAGCGTAAAAAAGACCTAGATCTCTTCCATGAACACACAAAAAGTCGGAAACCTCATCTGACCACATGTAAGCCAGATTTAGCCATTTACAATATAAAAGTGGTAGCTAAATAACTAAAATACCATTTCTCTAATTTTTCCAACCAGATTGTATTTCCTTTTTTCATTCTTGGCCTACAGGGAATTGACCTACAGGGAATGTGCCACATATTAAACCACTATTGGGAATTATTACAAAAAGGAAGTATTTTGCAATATAGTTAATGAATTTAATAAGGAACATAAATACTCTAGAGTGTTGTGCAGTAATTCTGTCCATAGAATTACCTTAGTGCTTGCTGAAATAGTGTAATTAAAAACTCCACTAACCTATCATATTAATTGTTCTTTGGATTTTTTTAAAACAAATCAGTGCTAGGCCTTTTCTGTTACTGTGTTATGCTTAAGGAGCTCTCATCTTAGGTTTATATGTGATTTATTAATTTAAATACAAGGATTTACAAAGGTGAAAAAGGAAGCTTCCAGAGGGGCTTGTAAGTACAGTTTAATAAATGTAATAAATTTAAATCAAGCTGACACATTTTAAGAAGGAATTGCATGTTTGGAAAAAGCTGTACACAAGGATAGGCAAACACAATACAGAATATATCAATATAAGGCCATTAATTATAAATTAAGTGGACATTACCTCACACCACAAAACTATTTATGCCATTAGTTCATGTAAATGAGTCCCTGAGTTAACCATAGGAGCTGTCTGCAACTGACTTGCTTTCGGGAGTGTTAGGCTCTTACTGTGTAAAAAAAAAAAAAAAAAAAAAAAACATATGAATGATTTACTGGAAAAAAATCAAAGGTGGGTCAACCCTTTTCTTGCAAATATTCCTCTGTTTAATTTATTTGTAATGCTTGCTTACTGGTACCATACTAGTACTCATCCTGTAAGGATAACATTAATTGGTTGACATAGAACAGCTTTATTCTGAACAGAGAAATGTTTTCACCTGCCAAATAAAATATAACTTTCATCCTTCATTTCTTGATAAACTGCTTAATAAGTTCCTTCAAGTACTTTTCTCTTCCCTTTGCAAGTTAACCAAACTCTCATTTAATCATTTTAAATCCAGTATACCATATCAATGACATTTTGCGAGTAAATCTAAATGAAGATTATAATACCATGCCTGAATTTAGTGCACTATTTCACATCATGTCTTTGAATTCAGGTCACTTTAAGAAATAGTGGGCCAAATTCTACTTAGTTAAACTGCTGCAACGCCACTGACTTCACTGGTGTAATTGAAAGCAGAATTTGGCCTGCTGCCATATGTGCTGCAAATATAGGCTGAAACTTTTGAAATGTGTAGACAATTGAAAGACAATTTCAACTTGAAAGTAAAGAAAGCAAGGCCAGATTTTCAAAGGTTTTACAAACACAGTTGTATGTGGAAAACTTACACACAATTTGCACATGCATTTACTGGGACACAAACTGTGTATGTCATTGGCCAGTTATGGTCACTTCCCTTACCTGACTTTAATGAGAGCAGGAACCAGCCCTAAATCAGCAGGACAATACTGCTAACACATGCTGCACCAGATGAGCACATGGGGGTTTTATCTCAGACTGGTACAGAATAAAACTGTTTTTCCTGAATTCCTATGTGTGGCCTAAATTATTTCACATGCATATTATTAGCATGGAGTAAAATGAGAATGTGCCTGCCAGAATACTAAGCTTTCAAAATCAGAGCCCAGTTTTGAATATGTATATGATTGGGTAACTTGTAAAATCACCTGGGGCCTGATTGTGGAACTTTGAAAGTCACTGAGAGTTTTGCCATTGACATTTATGGTGCAGGACTGGACACTTAATTCTTTCACATGAAATAGCTGACTTTAGAACATATTTAGTGATACACAGATCAGGATTGTGCCCTTAATAGGGAAACTTTTGGGTGTTTGTATTTACTGTATGGACGTGCAAGTCCTAGTATTTTGATGCCATACAGAGCCAGTTTGGTTTGATTCAGGAAAAGGAATACAGTTGCATTAGATGAATTGACTCGTCAGGCATAATTGTCAAGTATTTCTTGCTATTTTGTTTCTGGAGCCTGCAACAGACATGTCTCTTATTTTCCCTTTCCAGGAGTTTGTCATGATTGTTGTGTTTGGTTTCGAATATATCATTCGCATCTGGTCAGCTGGCTGCTGTTGTCGCTACCGAGGATGGCAAGGAAGATTGCGATTTGCGAGGAAACCATTCTGTGTAATAGGTGAGTTTCCCAATTAATTTCAATGTAAATTCCAAAAGTTACAACCTAGCCATCACAGGTTGGCTGATTTCTTGCACACATCATAGCAGATTCAGTTTATTTACTTGATTTTACTGTAATTCTTTAAAAAATGTCTGATTTGGAACCAACAAGTTGGTGCAATAGTGAACCTGTGTAACAGCAGGATCTCAGCTTCATTACCCTCATCCTCTGACCTCATTGTTCTCTCCAGTTGCTATTTGCAGGGCCGGTGCAACCACTAGGCAAGCTAGGCGGCCGCGGCTGCGGGGGGGCGCATAGGGGAAGTGCTCCCCACCCCAGATCACCTCCACTCTGCCTCCTCTGCTGAGCACACAGCCCCCGCTCTAATTCTCCTCCAATCGGCGCCACAAGCCTGGGAGGGGAGGAGAATTAGAGCGGCGCCGGCGTGCTCAGCAGAGGAGGCGGAGCGGAGGTGAGCTCGGGCGGGCTCCCCGGGCGGGGTTAGCTGCCGTGGAGGGGGGCGCTCCCCAGGTGGGGTTAGCTGCAGAGAGGGGGGTAGCTGCTGTGGGGGTGGCTCCCCGGGCGGGGGGGCGGTGGGCTGGGTTAGCTGCCGCGGTGGGCGGGGTTAGCTGCTGCGAGGGGGGCTCCTCTGGTGGGAGGGGCGGGAGAGCGTGGTTAGCTGCCGGTGGGGGACAGGGACGGGTTTATCTGGGTGGGGGGGTGGCGCAAGGTGGAAATTTCGCCTAGGGCGTGAAACTTCCTTGCACCGGCCCTGGCTATTTGCACTCACCTGTTGCATCGCATTTAAATTAGATTATAAACAGGAGACATACCTGCCTGTGTTTGTACAGCACCTGACACCAGGGTTCCCCAACCTGATTGCAGTAGCACCCAAAGGCCCCAATGCAAATAACAAATAATTTCACCATCAGTTGCAGTGGGGCTGTAATGAGGGAAATATGAGTAGGTGGCGTTCCCAAAACCTTCCCAAAAGAGTCATTTTTGTTGAAGCTGTGATGTTTAGAATGCGAGAGCAGCCAATATTAACCATGCTGCAGGTTCCTTACAAATACACTAACCAAGATAAGTGTGGGTGTGTCAGGTAAAAGTTGATTGGGAGTGTATAGAGAAGGTCACAGTGGGTTTCTACCATTTTGCATTACTCAGAGGTGTATCATCTATAAAGACATCATTATTAAGCGTTTTATGGTAATTCCTGTAATTATCAATTGTAAGGGCTGTTTTTCCAATAATTACAGTAGAACTTTGAGTCCCATATCCAAACCATGGTTAGCCAGATCTAATGTGACCTTAGGTAACAACATGTCCCCTGAGGCTTACTGCACAGTTGGCTAAAGAGGAAAGTAGGGAGAGGAAGTTACCTGTTTCCCCAAGGCCAACTGGCTGAAGAGGAGACAGAAGGTACTTGTGCAGGGCCAGCTCCAGGCACCAGCTTAACAAGCAGGTGCTTGGGGCGGCCAAGGGAGAGGGGCGGCACCTGCGGCAATTCGGGGGCGGCAGGTCCCTCACTCCCTCTAGGAGCGAAGGACCTGCCGCTGAACTGCTGCCGCCGATCGCGGCTTTTTTTTTTTTTTCCAATTGCTGCCGCCGATCGCGATCGCGGGGTTTTTTTTTTGTTTGTTTTTTTTTTGCTTGGGGCGGCAGAAATGCTGGAGCCAGCCCTGTACTTGTGTGTAGAAACTCCACTCTCTCCTGCCTTCACCAGGCAGCCTTCATTGGGGAAGCCAGCCCCTCAGACATTCCCTCTCCCTGCGTTCAGCCATATGACTCCCCTGATTAATCAAACCCAGGGGTATTTGCAGGTTTTTGGTGCACTTTCTAGTCATCAAGGTTCTACTGTACATAATTCAAGATAACAGAACCAGACAGTTCAGCACAGGTGGTTTATTAACCATAAAATAAGTCAAACATTTAAATAGCAGAAACATGTAACATTCCAGATTACTTGCTGCAGTCCTAGAACTCTTTGTTTGGAGATAGCCACAATTTGTTCAATCCAGCTTCAGTTTATCTTCAGTTTTCTTTCCTCCTACTGTGTGCAAGCCTTTCGCTGGTAACTAACTTCATTTTGGAGGTGTTAATTCCTTGCATAAAAGAAGTTAGTTAAGGGACACAATCATGCTTTAAGTTATATATCCAAACCTGTGTTACTTATGAACCTGTCAATAATTAAAGAAGGCCAGATCATGGCCCATTCTGGGCACTAACCCAAAAGAGTAAGGGGGCCATAAAGCACCCCATGTACCCATGCACCATAACGCAGCTTCCAGTTCCTGGTGGGTAGCATGCTCCACAGTGCTGCTGTGTCCCCTCTGCTTGCCAAAGAGCAGGAAGGAGTGAGGAGTGAATATAGCTTTGACTCCGACCCCTGGCGGTGTATCTACACCAGCATATCAGGGAGCACACTCTGTCAGTCAGTCTCCTGGGCCATTCTAGGAGCAACACTACAACATAGACCCCATTGCGTGGGGCTCGGTCACAATCTAGACCAGAATTTTAAGCAATTGTTATAGACTTTTCACTGTTTTCACTGGTTGTTTCTTGCTCTTCACGTGTTTCTAACTATTAAACTGGCCCCATTTGTTCCTATCTCTGCTTTTTCTCATGGTCTGCAGTATTCTCATGCTTCATGCCTCATGCTGCAGCATTTAAAAAATGAACTAATGGGAAAAAAATGTAATGAATACCTTTCTATTTGTTAGCATTTGTAAAATGTTTTTCCTGGGGGGGGACTCTAAATATTGGGCCTAAACTATTTGACAGTATTGCTCTAAATACTTAGCAGTTTTCCTTTATGGGTTATTTTATTTTTACTTTTTGGATCACTTGAAAACTAGAATTCTTTTCTATTTTTTTTAAATAGGTCTAATTGTGTTGAGTCATATAGCTTTATAAGCTGAACTCCCCATTAAAGTCAATGTAGAGTTCCTCTAAAATCCCATGACCAGATTTGGCTTTTTGTTATTTAATCCTTATTTACAGTTTATTCATTCTACTTCCCATTTCAATGTAATAGTGATATCTTTACAGCCATAGTCTGTTTGCCCTTAATTTAACTTGCCGGTATATCCTCAGCAGATCTAACTATTTTTGCAGTCAAACACAATTACTTAGGTCAGTGGCCTAAGAGATGGAAATAAATGTTTGAATTACCAAAAAGGTCAAATTCAGAGAGCCTTTGTTTTTTTCAGCTTTCATTAATGACCTATCAGTGTGTAAGGCCAATACTTACAATAATAAGCCTATGATGTCAGTAAGTCTGACAAGTTAGTTTACGAACAACTCTGTGTGCTCCTTGGTAAGAAAAGATACATCAGTACATGTTGGCTAGCTTTGCACCCTACTTGTTGTCTCAGAGGAAATGGGAAATAGAATTGTGCTATTCATCCTGGCTGTGTATTTTGTGTTAGATTGAGAGCTGCCTGCTATCCCTTATTTTACCTAATTACTCCTTGGCCAGCATATCTCATCCACAGAGCACAAGCGCTGACCCATGTACTAGGCATATAATTTGAAGCTGGAATTTCAGCACTGCAAAGGAATGTTGCCATGTTGTTCTGTAGAGGTATGGAAGCTGTTCCATACCATTGATCATTTTTGTTGTCCTTTTCTGTACCTTTTTCAATTCCAATATATCTTTTTTGAGATGTGGCAACCAGATCTGCATGCAGTATTCAAGATGTGGGCATATCTAGGACACATTTACCCTAGGATGTTGCAGCGCCACAAAACAGAAAAGTCTTAGCCACTGCAAAATTACATAATTTTCATTAAAAGTCAATAGGAACAAATCTGTGTTTGTGCAGCACTTAGCACAATAGAGTCTTGTCCATGACTGGGGCTCCTAGGTGCTATTGCAATATTTAAAAAAAGAAATAAGAATAATAGCAAGAAACTATCAGTTCTGTTAGACAATTCATTGACATTCCAAAACAAAAAGTGCACTTGAATGGCAAAAATACACTTCTTCCTTTAAAAAGGCATTGGCTTTGTAGCTAGCATAGGGAAGGATGGTGTAGTTATTAGAGCTGGGCGAAATGTTTTTTGGAAAAATAATTTACTTGTTGAAAAATGCAGTTTCAGGCAACCCAAAACTATTTGTAAATTTGATCCTATAAATTCATCTGGGAAAAACTTTTCCAGGGCCAGATTCAGAGTGTGAGCATCCCCATTCCTCCCTTTAACCTTTAGCACAGTGATTAAGGCACTTGGGATGTGGAAGACCCAGGGTTTGAATCCCCATTCTGGAACAGGAACTTGAACACAGATCTACTCCTGCCAGTTTTCCTTCATTTTTTGGCCTTCCAGTGTGCCTAGTCCCATGAAATATCACCCTCTCCTACCTAGAGAAGCTACCATCTGATCAACTATGGGTCACTAGCCACTGAGCTTCCTCCCCAGCAGTCACCAGTGTCTCTAACAGCCCCTGAACCTGGAGTTGCAGTGTGTGATCTATCTAGCTCTGCCTTGAAGGAAAGTTGTTCCTCAGTAGTTCTTACGAAACTATGGTTGTGGCAGTAGAGTTTTCCATTGAATCTGACTGCCCCAACCTTGTGCAAAGTCCAGATTCGAATCTGGGTTTTCAGCCCCTTGTTTGGGAATGTTTTGACCTAGAGTTTTGGTTTGAGCCCATTGTGACAGAATATACCCCTGTGTTCATACTCTACACACCATTGTAATAATCTTTATACAAAGGACGCCTTGTAAGGTATCATTTCAAAACTCATAATTTGCTGGTCAGTATTGTCCTGATTAAAATATGTGTGGCAACATTGTATGTGAAGTTATAAGACCCCCCCCCCCCGGTATGGTGTATGTTCCAAACCCCACAGCCCTGCCCCAACAGAAGGCAAACAGGGCTGTCCTAATCAAAGGGATGTGTGCTCTGCTTAATTTGCATTTAAGTATTAAACAGAGGCATCAAGCAGGAAGGGAAGACAAAGGAAGTTCAAACAGGTGAAAAAAACAGCAGGCAATATCCTTCCCATAGACTCTTA